GGAAGTGTGCCAGAGGTCCAGGGACAATGAACAAGGACTGTAAACGAGCACAGCGGGACTGTTTGAGCTAAGTGATTCCCCAACCTGCTACAAATGGCCAGAACATTATCGTTCTTTGTAAAAAAAAATATAGCCACCATGTTTATCTCAGTGGCTTGTTGATGCAGGAAGTTCAAAGCAAAGTCTGAATGTACATGTTCTACTAATGAATCAGAACTCATGGTAGAGGTGATATTCCTTTTGCCTCTAGACCAATATGGCTACAACCTGGATACCTATCTTCTACTAAAGGATTTAATTCTTTGATTGGCAGGCATATAAACAATTCAGAAGTCTTTTCTATCAGTGGTATGCAAACAATATACGTACATAATAAGCATTAATGGGAGTTCTGCATATAAACTGCCCTCCCGCGGTACCAAAAACTGACCGCGCACAGAATGTCTCCACACAGAGAATTACATTAAACGTCTAATATTTCTTACCTGTATGGTAAAATGTGAGGAAAAACAAAAGGACGCCCATGAACACATTACTCAGAAAGGTGACAACTCCACATGTGATTCCTTCTGGAACTGGATAGACTGTTTCCACAAAAAGCTCAAAGAATATAGGTATGCTGCTATTGAGGAACACTCCTAGCAAAATGCAGGACGTGTACAGTGTAGCTACAATGGAAACAAAACAGAAACAGCGATGAGTTTTATGTCACCGGTTTCCTACGATAGCATGTTATTACAGTCTGTAAGCCCTCCAGACAGATGCACCTTGTTTGGGGAAGGCAGAGTAAAGCAAATATTATTCCAGGGTCACGGCTGAATTATGACCGCAGGGGATTCGGACTGAATGGCTGAATCCCAACTGGCCCTGCTCAGGTAAAGGCTGATGTGTTAACCCTCTCACCGCCACTGGGGATTCGGCAGCAGCTGTGAAAGGATTAATGCTGTAGTTCTAACCCTGAAGGATGAACTCCAGCCCCTCCTTCCCTGAGGCTGGCAGGCGGAAGAAGCATGGCATCCACTTTATATCATCCCCAGCTTCCGTGCTTACACATGCAACTCAATTTTGGACAGCTGAGTTTGGGGGAAAAGGGATGTGTAGTATACAAGGGACTAGGATACTTCAAACCAAAGATGCTCCGGTACTGATGGGCAAATAACTAGAAGACAAAGAATAATCAGATCTATTTCTTATCCACTGTGCATCACGGCATATATCATGTCTCACTGCTTGTAGTTGACATTTATTATTTGGGTTGAAAATCAGAAATATACATTTGCATACAGAATTGAATTCCTGAAGATCCATTCAATACCGTGGAGTCCACTTACCAAATGGGAATCCTTGGGGGAAAAAATTAATGCAAAGAGACATCCAAGCCGAGTTATTTCCTAAATGAACAATAACTACTGCTCCACATACAATTAGAGTGGAAGCAATTACTGAACTGCATTAAAAGTGAATGGAAAATTAACCTTTTGACTCGGTGTCAGAGGTCGAAACTAATTTTTGCTTCCATTGTACAAATAAATACTTATGATTTCCCAGACAGCAGAGCATTAAAATTCACCACCACCTGACTTGTGAGATGTTGAAATTCCCATTTGTCGAATGGGAATGAAATATACTCAGTACCTGCCAGAAATGACTCCTACTTGCCAAAGGAAATTTTTTATTATTACAGAATTCCTATTTTTCCTCCTGGGTATATAATAATAGAATATAGTCATTTCTTCAATTGGCTTTGTTCTGTGACTTCGGATGTTATTATATTGCTTGCACTAATATAGATGTTTTGTACAACTAATATGTCTACTGGCACTAAACAAAAATATACATGTTTTTCCTTTTTTTACCCACAAGGCTCTGAATGATGAAAGCTAATTTTAATGGAACTGTAGCATCTCCTTAAGAGCTGTCCTAGGAAAGAAGGATTTTCTGAGCTGGGACCTTTGTGTCTTGAGAAGACCAATTACATATAAGGGGGAGGGGAGAAATGGAAACCATTTACTAGAAGACTGAAAAGGGTAAGTAGAAGTCTGGAATGCTTATTGAAGACTCTGTAAGGGCACCAACTGTATGTAAAGACACATCCTTCAGAAGTAAAGACATTTCCTAGTTGCTGGGAAAAGACTACACTTGATGACATCTCTACACTGCAGTATGTTAGCAAGACTTTTAGTATATGAAATTCAAGTAGGATGGTATTCTATTTTTCCATACTATACCAAAATGTTTTAACAAGGGGAGAACTGAAAAGTGCTACTTCATCAGAAGTTAAACACTGATCAGTCCTACAACTGAGGAATGGTTAGTGAGCAGGAAACTTTTGCCTAAAAAACCTGCATTATTTGTTAAGACATGAGGGATCAGAGAACGGAGATAAAGCCTTAAGAGAGATGGCAAAAATGGCTATCGGTCAGATCATTCATTTGATATAGTTCTCTTCCATGCATATTTCTTTCTCTAGAGAAGGATTTACACAGAGGGGAAAAAGAGAATAGAAAAGGCTACCAGGAAGATGATATAGATGGCATAGCTTTGGAAGGGGACTGATTAGGTTGGCCGCACTTTTTTGTAAGAGACCTGGAGGTGATTTATTTATTTATTTTTTTATTTAAAAAAATAAATAGGACCTAGCAGCTTTCTTGAGCTCCTGTAAAATCTTTTATTACCAGCTGCAGGGTGAAAGTCAGAGGAGCATTTCCAAGATAAGTTCACCAGAGTTCTGCAAGTGAGAAGAAAATTTAGTATCATGAAGCCAACAGGTTCTTTTATTTGGAAGTAAGCAACCAATTCTTCCTGCCACAATATCCATAGATTTTGCTGCAAGTTCTCATTGGTATTTTGAAGTTAGTAAATCTCTCTCACAGGTTCTAGCTGCATACAGTAACTCGGCCTCTTACTTTAACAATCTTTTAATTCCTGTTAAATAAGTAGCAATCATAGCTTCAGGTTTTTTTAAGCTGTAACTACCTATTTAAGCAGTTTTGGATGCTAGAGAGAAAAAAGGATGAGTACTGACTTTAGACGTTACAGAACAGAAAGAAAGGCCAGATCATCTCCTCTTCTCCCATAAAAGTGTCAGGCAGAGGCAGATTCCTTAGCACTTTCCAAACAGAAAATACACGAGAAATAATTCATTCTGCAGTAGAAGAAATTTCAGATGGTGAAAACATATTAACCAAACTTCAAAGACGACAGCACCCCAAATTCTAAATAGGGGCAAGTGCAGTTTATGCATCTAGTTTGCATGAACTCTGGTATGGAAAATAAACCAGTTACTGTTAACAGAGCAATTACCAATAAGGCACTAATGGCTTGACTTGGGAGAATTTAACGTAATAAAGTTTAGTCCAGAAAAGGAAGCAATTGGCGAGATGGAAATCATTTAGTTGAGGATGGAGTAAATTTGCTATCATGAATTTATGAATGCAGATTCTGCAGGAGAAAAGGGAAGCACGGAAAGGATACCGAGACTGTCAGCTGAATACTCGTTGCAGAATCCCTACTGCTCAAGGTAACAGTTACAAATCATATTTGTCTAGTGACCTCTCCTCAGCCCTAGCTACTTGGGAACCTGAATAAATATCTACAGTAACACCTTTCACCATATAATTATAATACATTAATAATATAAAATATATCTATTTTAATGATTAAAATAATGAAAAAAACCAAAGCAAGAGGTTGGATGCTAAAGGCAAAAAAACCAAACCAAAAAAAGCAAGCAGCAAAAAAAGAAAAGCACAGGTCCCAGAACGAGGCTGGAAGCCTGGCAGTTAGTAACTATATTTTTTTTTATATAGTGAACTAAAAAAAACCCACAAACCAAGAAATCTGGGAATGGCAGAGGATTAAAAACCTGGAAACCTTTAAAAAATGAATTTATAGAGTTACCCCTCAAACTGTAAACACACTTTACTGCTTAGGAAGAAATATTTTCATCCTGCGTTCTTGTAAAACATCTAGGATCCTTCTGAGTGCCATAAACAAAATGATTTTATTGCATCAATTCAGAGTTTAAAAGACAAAAGCAACTGATCACCAGCACTGAAAACCATAGATACAGGAAAAACGTTTTAGAAGTCAGATAAATAAGGGTTCCAAAATGGGTTTAGCCGTATGTCATACACTGCAGCGACAACGGTATTTTACACCGGCCCAAGGGGCAACACAGCTGCTGTAGTTCGGTGAGTGCCACCTATAAAATGGAGTCCATTTACTTCTCATAACGGGGACTCTGCACTGAATGATTATTAAAGAGCCCCATGATTTTTTATAGTGTAAAAGAACTGCTGCTAAAATTACTCTAAATGTTTTTTCAATTAAGAACCCCTGATGACAGGCATTGGCACTGAATATAGGCAAGAACAAATCCTAACAGAAAAGAGGATTCAAGAAGCGGGGACTATTCCTTCCTCAATTCCTCATTCCAAAAACAGAAGAAACTCACAGCTGCTTGGACAGAAATAGACACTGGGGATGTACAGATCATAACAGAACGGCGTTTCTCCCTTTCCTGTGAAAAGCAATTAACTAGGAAAATTGCTGGGGATAAAGGCATACCTCTGAGTCACTCACCTTAGTGAGCTCTGGCCATTTAGAAGTAATGGAACCAGGGTTATTATTATTATTATATATTTTTTTTAAAGATACTGTGACACTGGACTTGCTATCTGAGGAATCTGTGCATTAAAGCAGCTATTTTGCAGGCCTGCTGCCACATCATGAATTGCACAGGTAGACACACCTCCAAAGCAATGCTGCTTTGGCTGTTCCAGGGCCAGATTTCTCTTCGAGACTACCGTGGCACTGCCTCCATGGCAGCCCTAAGCAAAAGGCTCATACGAGTCATGCGACGGTCAAGTTTGAAATGCCAACAAGCCAGGGTCCCCATTCCCCTGCTAGCTGTTACTACTACATGCCACAGTGGGAGCATCACGGGTAGGAAAAAAAATAACATGTCAGTTATATAAAAGGAAGTGTTAAGGTGGCTTATTACAACAAGAAAAACGTGGGTAGAGGCTTGGTTTCTTTTGGGTTTTTATAATCGCTGCAGGCATATTGGATATAGGAAGGCAAACATTTGCCTGCTTACATATACCAGACTTCCAGACTGATAGGCAGATGCATGCATTTAATCTGTCATCTGCTACAACAAGTGCTTACCCTGCAAGGAACAAAGTTGAATTGGGGAAGCGCTTGCACATGGTGGTGCCTGTTTACTTATCCGCAGCTGAGCTGAGGACACCGCACAACCTTCTCGAGTATCTTCCAGACATACACACAAACAACGTTCCAGGACTGCCGTGTTCCAGCAAAGTCCCTGGACACACATTTGGCAGTCGCCTCTTGGAGCACACCGTCCTCATAACACAACTGCACATTTAGCGTCTGAGCCAAGCCCAGTGGTATCGATGGAAAAGCTCCTGCAGATTTCAACCAATTCGTTCCCTTAGCGTGGGGTGTGCATGCACACATGTGCGCGCATTTAATTTCTATGCTGTCACTGCTTAAATGTTCGCAAATACTGTGGGGCGAATTTAATTCTCATGAAAGTGACAGCTAAAAGCCTAAAGACTGCTGACTGCAAGCAGGTGGTGTTGTGCAAACTTCCCTAAACCACTCTGCCAATAAATCCTGACCTCCTAATTCCCTGGTACAT